AAAACAGAAAATTAAAAGAGAAAAAGGAAAAATAAAATCAATAAAAAACTCGATTCCCACGAGTTGGGTTCCTTGTTGAAATGAGTACATTTCTGTGTCACGATTGTGTCACCCGTCACCTCATTGGACCAAGAAGATCGTCATCGCTGACGAAATCGGGGAAAGGTTCGAAAAAGAGGACTTGATATAAAAGGGCCAGGCATGATGAGTAAGGGTGTGGAAGTTATTATTGGTATCTGTGTGTGCGCTCCGATCGTCTACCTCCAGCCGAGAATCCGAACCTCCTTTTCGCCTACAAGACTAGAACTGAACTCCAAGAAGACCTCAGCTGAACTCAACTGACCTCAACACCTACTCAACTGGAAAGAACTGTTGGACCTTTATTTTTGTGCTGGACTTGATCTCCTATACAACCTAAGGTATTTATCCTGCCCGCGTACTATTGTACGCTCTCTCTCCGCGTAAACTAAACGCGAAACCGGTTGTGATTAGAACTAGGAAATGATCACTGAAACTAGAACTAGAACTAGAAAATGATAACTGAACACGATTCATGTAATTTATGTTCGCATTTTATTTACTAATGTAAATCTACGTTAGAGATATATAAATAAACGGTTGTTTATGTTAAACCCTTCTCGAGTGCAGTTTCTTCCGTTTTTCTCTCCGTTTCTCCACTCCGGGTCCAACCCTCATACCTATCCGCTCGCGCGAACTGGTGGTCTCTGTATCGACCGAAGGATACAGTGGTGTCATCCTGACGGGGTATCGAAGAGATACCGACCCTACGGTCACACAGGTCTTTGGAAGAAAACATTACTCGTCGTTCGATAATTATCAAAACCAGATCTGTCATTTACATCGTTATTGCCGAAACTACGACCCCGGGCCAAATTCGACCGCAAACATATTTGATACATCACTTATAAATGATTAAAATAGACCTAATTTTTCTATATGGAATATGTAAAATTATTGTGATCCGTCTACCTACGGCTTATGCTCAGTTTGGTCCGCCAACCAAAAAGTTTGGAAACCCACTTTTGATGATCGCGCATTTGCACTATCATATAAATCAGTGGATTTGTACGAGATGCAATCAGTGACGCGAATGCACTATTCGCACCGCTTATTGCATATCATTCAACAAATAAATGTAAAGTAGGGTTCATTATGCCCCTACTTTACCTGTGATAGCTTAGTCATTTTTTGAAAAAAGAAATTGGAATAGATCAAAATAATAGTCCAAACATTGTGTCCATAATGGGCCTCTCACAATACTGAACCTTAGTAATTCTAAAAAATGAGACAATAAGACAACATTCAATTATTTGAAAGTGTTATTGCTATTCTTACATTGTTTTTAATAATAATTTATGTATTAATCACTTTTAAATTAAAATATTTTAATTTAAGTTTTTGAAGCTAAGTTTTAAATACATTTATTATGTAATTAATCTCTAAAACTTACTTGTATAACAATAAAGGAAAATGTGTAAACTTCACAAAAATTATCATTTAATAATTTTTATAATGTGAAATAATAAATGATGATAATTGTTTTAAATTAAATTATGGATAATTGTATGCCGAAGTGTTAGTGATAAGTTCGAATGGACCCAGACGAATTAAGTGAAAACCATCGATGAATTCTCTTTCTGTCCGTGGGCACTAGGAAGGCTTGTTTCACACGCTGCCTGGTGACCAAGGACGAGGTCTAACATGCCTCATCTAGACCAGTGTTCTGCAACCTTTTTCTACTCGCGGCACACCTCTGACTCGACATGACTCAACACGGCACAACAAAATGTTATTCCCCTCAAAAACGTATGATATGATACTATTAGTAGAATTTCGTAATGCCATAAATCTATTATTATTATTATTATGTTGAGTTTTGTGAGTTACACTCGGTTAACATCGATGGCTGTGTATTATGCCGGACACAGCATAGTAACCAAAACAAGACAAAAATTAAATAAGTGTGTCAGTGTGTGTCTGTATTCAGGAATTTCCTAACAATATGATATGTATTCAATATAGTGGCCTTCTGTAACGTGATGTATGTGTTTCTATTCAATTTTAATGTTTCCAGGCTCATGTGTAGGCGTGTGTGGTATGGCACCTGTACAGGAGAGAACGACAGGTATAATAAGAACCCTATCCATCCTCCCTAGATGACTTATTTCCTGGACGAGTTCTGTGTACTTGCTGATTTTTT